TCTCATGTAATTCAATGTTTGAATGAGAGTAGCTGTTTCAGGAGGGCTTTCTTCCAGTTTGTGTCTGAAAGTTGCTTCTTTGCACATATAGAGTTACCTGTTTTCAAATTGATTACTTCCTCCCTTTCTTTGGAAGATTCCCACATTTTTTTTTGTATCAAGATGGAGTAGAAGAAAGCCAAAAACTATCTTTCCTTAGACATCTGTCGAAGAAGTTGAGAAATGAATAATCAGCTAAGGAATAACTGCAAATATCTTAGAATTTTTTGTCCATTTCTGAAGACGGAGGCAGATTTTGGCCTCCGAAACGTAAAGATAAGTATTGTATTATTTTTTTATCAGCAAAATTGTTAAATACGACAAGTTACTGATAAATAGAACATTTTTCGTTGTGGAAAGTACTTTGTTTTTACGCAGTAACTTATCGGGGTAAACTAAAAAGTTTGCCATTTCTACACTTGTATAAAGTTCTCCATTAAAAAAAAGTCAATAAAAAACCGATTTTCCTCCATAAAAAGTTACTTCCATTGAATATGTATCTCTCCTTAACACAATCTTGAGACACGGTTTGATCTATGTTAGAATATTGACACATGGGATGTTTCTTTCCCTTTTGAGGCCTTGTTCACGATATGGAGCTGTTTCTAGTGAAAATCTTTCTCTAAATAAGCCTTATCCGATGTGGTAATATAATTTTTGTTATACCAATATGTTTTAATTTTGTATATTCAGTACAAATTCTATATTGAAGGCTTTTTTCATTCTCCTTATCAAATTCTTCATATAATGACCCCTTGTTTTGATGAAGTAAAAATACTGGTAAGTGTAATATGTCATCAAAAAATTATTTTGACAATTGGTTTGATTGGGACATTTGATTTTTTTAATATTTCCTGCTTTCACTGTGAGTTTGTATCTACAATAGTTGAAGCCGTCATAAATGTGTATATGACATATCAGAAATGTGAAAAGCTGTAACAAATTAGCTATTTATGATATGAGTGTTGAAAGTAAGGTTTTATTTTGTGAGTGAAAACGTTTGCGAAAAGAGAGTAGTGAGTTAAGCAATTTCACGAACAACTTACTTTTAACACAAATATCATACACATTTCCTTGCACAACTGTCAATAAAAGTAATATTTTTAATGGTTTTCAAGAGTATTGAAAGATGGTGTTTACAAAGTAGGTAGTGTGTTAAAAATATTTTCAACACTAGTGTTTTTTTTAACACGATTTTTTCCACCAAATAGCAATAAACAAGACATAATTATTCAATTTTCAAAAAAGTTTTATTAAGAACAATAGATATAGATACAATTGAATTCTGTTACAAATGTATTATATAGAATAATTACATTATTATTATTATCATTTATGAACATCAATATGAAAAGTACAATCAGAATAACTTCTGATATTAGAGCCTTGTAATATATTTGAACTGAGTGGACAATTTCATGGGCATTACCATTTAATTCTTGAAGTGAAGAGGACGATGCTGTAACGCTGGAACTAGCTGTTGGGATTATTCTTTCAGCAATAGCCTTTTTATAAGAAATAGATTGATCAATGTAACCCTCAGCTGCTGTTGTAGACTTCCATCCTCCGTGCTTCTTAATATCCGTTATTTCTGCTCCTGATTCTGCAAAGGAGCAGTAGACCTTTTGAAACATTGACCTGTATATTCCTTTGGTTCCGAGAGGTTCAGAAACTCAGCAATGGTAGAGGGCATTTTCCGAAACGTGTTTATAGCAACTGGGTTGGCACTGCATTTATAATTTCAGTATTTCAATAAAAAAACGTTGATGATTGAAAACAGAAGGGCGTAATGCAATGCATTTATTAAAATAGTCAATGTTTTTTCCAACAACCTATTCCAATGACCTATTTTCGTTTTTGTATTTGGAATTTGAACAATCAATGATTCATCCATTGATTTAATGTTCCGAAAATAGTAGTAACCTTTATTATCAAATATTTTTCATCTGGCGCCTCATTTATAAACCTTTGGACTTGTTCAAACGTAAGAGTTTTTGATTTTCTGGGAAAATAACTTTCATTTTTCCGCTATAAGAATGCTATTACCTTGAAATATTTGCTTGTATTAACACCATTTTTAACGAGCGCACTCGACTTTATCATTGAAAACTTGCTTCACTAAGTTGACGAGTTCCATATTTTTTATTTCTCTTCTAGATACGCTGAGAAGACGGTTCAGCTGAAATTTCCTTGGAAGTTTTCAAGTCTATACCAGCTAAGAAAATTAAAATATGCGGTGTCGTACTCGTGTTAATAGTTCAATTTTTTTATCGTTGTTTGTATTGTATTTTTTTGTAATTCCAATTTTTTTGCTTAGTATAATTTTTCTTTCAGCTAATCTTTTTAATTTCAATAGATTTTTTCAGGGATTCCAAATCAATTTATATCATATTAAATAATGGAAGTCCCAACTAATGACATGAGATAAATTTAATATTTCTATGAAAACATATTTTGACATCTCTTGTCTATTAACTATTTTCATGTTATCGCATTTGCTGTGAAGTGGCCGTGTCAGGTGACTCCGAATCACGTGGTTACCAACAAACAGTATTGTTTACAGCTCACACGTTTTATTTAAAGTCACATTTGAAGTTTTTGCTGGCGTTTAATGTATATAATACATTTGTAACAGAAATTAATTGTATCTATATGTATTGTTCATAATAAAACTTTCTTGATAATTGAATAGTCATGTTTTGTTTATTGCTATTTGGTCGAAAAAAACGTGTTAAAAATACTTTTAACACTAATATTAAAAATATTTTTAACACACTACTTCGTAAACATCATCTTTCAATACTCTTGAAAACCATTAAAAATGTCACTTTTGATTTCAGTTGTACAAAAAGGTAATTTACATTACAGTCATCCCAAAGATTTTTCTCAAGTGACCTACTGCATTTACTCTACAATGAATTTGCATTCACTCTGATTATAAATCAGCGTAAAAATTAATTAGTGAAAGATGATTACAACACCAGGTAAGTGTAAAAGTTTTTGGCTTTCTACTTCTTCATTAACAAAAAACATGTTTTGTATAATGACGAACAAGTGGGAGATCAAAAACTTTTTTTCTCAAAAAACTGATCTTTTCTCAAAATATTCCCTTTTCAATTCATACCAGGTATAAACTTAATTAGATATGTATTTCATTGGACGACTACCAATATGTCTAATACTATTCCCAGCCATTTCAAACTTCTGAATCCTATTTTTTTTTGAATTATCAGAAGTGTAACCAAAATTGATAATAAGAATACTTATTACGCTAAGATACATAATCAGATTGCAAAAATACTGGATTTTGTATGGTTTAATCGCACACAGAACTTTGATAATTTATTTCTTTACCTTACTGCAGTCTGTATTTATTTTAAGAGTTCCTGATAATCAATCATCTCCAAGCTGCTTAGCCTTTATGGGTTTCAATATTTGTTTACGAATTTGGTTTTACCCAGAATCATTTTCTAAGTATGTATATTTCTAAGTATCTGAAATTGTTACTGTTTTGTAATCTGCAGTGAATGAATATTATTATATTATATCATTATATATTATTAAGAATAAGTACCATTATACCCATACTCAAAGTTACAACCACTATAAAAGCAAGTGGATTTAGACCTATCAATACCTTACCGCTAATAGAGAGGGTTTTAGAAATAGCAGTATATAATCAATTATTAGAGTTTATTGACCAAAATCAAATCATGTTTATCAATCAATCTGGTTTTCAAAAAAAACATTCTTGTGAAACATCACTGCAGTTATCATTAACTAAATTTACTAATGAAATAGATTAAGGTAAATATGTTGTAGCTGTCTTTTAAGATTTCAAAAGGGCCTTTGAAACAATCGATAGAAGTATTTTGCTTCAGAAGCTGAGAAGATATGGGATCGAGGGGATGATTTATGAATGGATAAGTAATTATTTATCAAATAGGAAACGGAGAGTATGTGTGAACGATTATTTCTCATCATATATAACAAATCACACAGGAGTACCACAAGGTAGTGTGCATGGTCCCCTATTATTCATTCTGTATCTGAATGATATACAATTATTTACAGACTGTGAGTTCATCAACTTATTTACAGATGATACCTTATTGGCCTGTAGTGGAGTAAACTCAGAAGAAACTGTTGGCAGAATGAATAAGGTTTTAGAGAAAGTGGAAAAATATATGAAAACCAATAAAATGAAAGTTAACATTGAAAAAACTAAAGCAATGATAATCACTGTACTAAATTCAGAAATCAAGTAAATACAAACAACATAAATATACAAACTGAAGATGAACATATAGAAATAGTAACATAAGTGAAGTATTTGAGATTTCAACTTGATAATTGCTTATCATTTGACGACCTCTTCAAGTATATTGGAAAAAAGATTGCAAAAAATTCTAATTTTTTCTCAAGAATCGCCAATAACTTATCAACAGATACAAAAATTATGGTATATAAATCAATAATTCAACCCCATTTTGACTACAAAACTACAAAATCGAGGAATGAGAATAATTTTAAAATGTAATAGGTATACACCAATTTCTACCATGCTATCTGCTCTACAATGGCTCTCAGTATCCAAAAGAACATTCTGTTTTTTCATGGTTTTCATTTATAAAATATTAAATAAAATGACCCCACTATACTTGCTATCATTAAAAACTTTCAATAAGGACATTTAGCACCACCATTTTAAGTTAGCACACCTGTATATTACAGAATCCTAATTCAATAAATACGTTCAAAAAACATAAAATCGCGATTAGTAGGCCAGAGTCAAATGAAACATTTTGTCAGTATTATGTGCGTTTACTGCAAGGATGAAAGTTATATCTCGAATTTTGGTACTTCAGGTTCTATTTTATCAGGACTTACAAGCCTGGATTTGTTTACTTCAATTGTGAATCCAGCCCTGAAATTATAATATCATTATCTAACAATCTTACCTTCCATTATTTGAGAGTAGTGGTGAAACAAATTTGCTGTTAATATTCCTCCTAGTCCCCAACTTCCTTTTCAACTGAACAGCATTCCCTTGCAAAACACTTTGTTGCTGATGAGAACTTCCATATTTTTTAGCATTTTGTAGGTGGAGTTCATCTCTAGCTGTTTTGAATGAAGTACTAAATTTATTTGTTTTTGGATTTGTGGAACAGCTGGAATTTTTAATTTGCGATTCCCCCAGAGCATCCTGATTTTCTTGCAAAGACTTCCAAGACTTTGGTATGATGGTTTGGGGCGACGTAACAATTTTAGGTTTAATTTTGAATTCTTCAAAAAATTCTTGATATTCATAACAATCAAATGTTTCAGAAGCCTTACAGTAATTTGTATCTTTTGAACATGGGAGACATTTCAATAAAGTATTAGTATTCAATTCACCTAGACCTGATTTAAACTGATTTGGTCCATAGTGATCAACAGTAAGCAAACTATTTAGTTCCGTTTCGTAGATACTGGGCTGATCTCCCAATATTTCTGATAATTCCTTCAATTTAGTATCCAATAAGTAACAACTATCAGAATTACCCAGGCTAAAAAAAATTTAGTTTTTGTTTTATCAAATTAGGAATAATATTGGAATGAATTTTCAGACCTGGAGCAAGAACCTTTCAACAGTTGTACAATACATTTCCTTTTGACTTCCGCAGATTTGTGCTTATTTCTTTCATCATCTTGAAATAATATTTGATGATAAGCAGACAAATTCATTTCGAAGTTTGTTTTGTTACTGGGGTTAGAATCATTTTTTCGCGGGCAATCCATATTCAAATTATAGGTTCGTTCTGCTTCCTACACCCGAGAAACTGCACACAAAAGGATGTTTGACAGTTCAGGGCAGTACAGAGTTACTTATTAAACCAGAACAGAAGTCGACTGATTATTTAGCCATCTACAAAAGAAGTTGAGCAGAGAAAACGAATAAATAGTCCATATCAGTGTATTAGGAGGAAAATTTGTTATAACTCTCATGGCCAGACTTGATCTCCCCACTACAGTACACTACATTAGATGCCTCAATCCACATCCACAATGACTAACTCAACTATTTCCAGTGGCGTAGATATTGAGGATTTTGTAGGGGAACATGTAATGGCTGAACAAAAAAAACGAAGAGAAATTGGAAAGAGAAGATGCCACAAAATAACTACAAGCAAACATAACAAAAATGAAAAAGTACGTAAGAGGCCAATCAACAGAAACAATAAAAAAAACAAAAAAACGCATGAAAGAAGGATTCTTGGAGCACCCAGTTCTGCAAATATTGATAGTGACATGGGAAAAATTCATCTCACAACACTTCTTTCATTACTTTTCTAATGGTGGCCTCAATATCAGCAGGCACTTGTTCATCTTCCTCGATAGCTCAAACTTTGCTCTGGATCTTGTAGGACAGTTTTGCAGCCTCAAACTCCAGAGCGCTTGCCAGTGCATCCACGAAATGTTTGGGATGAGCTAGTGTCAAGGCCTGCCTCGTTTCTTGGTCGCGAAGTCCGTCCAAGAATGCCTGAACTGCTAATCACTCCATTACATTTTCCGGTGTAGCAGGATATGCCAGACGAATCAATCGAGCAATGTCGGCTTCAAATTCCTGAAGGGATTCTTCCGATTTCTGGCAGCGGTTCTTCAGCTGTGAGTGGTAAACGTGCTCTAGGTGTGCCTGTCCATACCGTAGCTCGCAAGATGTTTTATAAGTTGGTCATAGTCTTTCTGTTCTTGGGCCGTGAGGATTTGCAAAATATTAGTTGCTTCTCCACGCAACGCCAATGTTAATGCTACCGCCTTTTCTTCTGGATTCCATCCATTCGCTCTGGCCGCAGCTTCAAATTGTCAGCGGTAATTTGTCCAAGGAGTTTTTCCGTCGAACTGGGGCGGCTTCATGGAGAGCTTTTCTGGTTCAGAACTAGCTTTGAACTCTTCCAGTTCCAGAATGGAGTTTTCGGAAACTGTTTCTGTGGGATGGGCAAAATTACCGATTTGGTTTTGCAACTTGCTAATTGTTTCCTTTATCTCGCTGATTCCTGCCTGAACTCCGCCTTTGATTTTCTCTACTTCTGTGTTAATTTCCTTCCTGATTTTATCTATCTCTGTCTCGATGGTTCCTATCCTTTCTTCGAGTAGGCTCGCCACACTACAAAGCTCTTTCTTCAAGCCTTCTGCATTCTCTAGGAGTTCTTCCTTCAAGCTATTCGAATTCTCTAGAAATTTATCTTCCAAACTTTTCCAATTTTCCAGAAGTCTGTCTTCCAAACTCTTTCAGTTTTCCAGAAGTTCATCTTTTAAACTCTTCGGATTTTGTTGAAGTTCATCTTTCAGCGATTTGGTGTTCTCCTCGAGTTTGCTCATTATTGAACTCAAATCACCCCCAGAAACTCAGAATAAATATGTTTCGGGATCTTCTCCTGATTCAATCAAGCTATCCCATAGCCTCTTCTGGAGTACTGATTTCTTTCCGGAAGAATCTAGCTCTCTTTCCCCTCAAATCTTACTTCAATTCAGAGACTTTCAAATCCACTAGGTGCACTTCCCTCGAACACATTTTGTCTCTTATTGTCTATTTTTCACAAAACTGAATACGTCCACATATTTTAATCGAGTCCGAAACACTTATTTATTTTCACAAGTTTATTTTCGCGAGAAAGGTCTATCACCGTAATACAAGGATCTTCCACCAAGCGCTCACAAATTTATTTTGAATAATCCTACTTCTGACACCAATTGTAACGAATTAAAGAATTAACTGGCTTAAACAAATTTATTTTTAACAATATTTCACTATCACAACTAATTTATATACAACACTTAGCAACTAATGCTTAATTTATCTTCACAGTGTTCGAATTCTTTCTTTAAACGTACGATTCACTTTCGAGGTACAGACTCCCACAACCGTTCTAGATTTCTCTAGTTATTTCGGTAGTGGCCGAGACTGTTCGCAGCGACTTGTCGAGATCATTCCTTTCGCGATGAGTCATGTAAGTAACTGAGATATCGTTCAGGGCCAGCTTCAGATTCATTACAATACAAATCCTGCAATGGCGTTTATTCCTACAATATGATTCTCAAAATTGCTTTGGAAGTTTACTTCCAAGGAAAAAATAAAATAAACAAATTCATTTTTGGGCATCCTTAAGTTACCGAATGTGTCAAGAGTTCCGTTCTGAAATTCTCTGAAATAACAGTACAGAGATTAAGTATTTAATTCACAATTTGTCCTAACAAGAGCAAAGCCAAAAGCAGAATTAGAAAGTCTATCACTTCCTAAAATGGCGGACTCATCAACGCGACTGATACGCGTGAACTTTTCCCGCCAGGCGAAGTGACATTGCTGATTGTTACCTATGCTGTGACCAAGTAAACAAGAAAAGAAGAAGAAGTAGAATTACATTATTTCTCTTCAAAAAAGTGTTGACAAAGTTGAATAAAAAATAAAGAAATCGTTGTTGAAAACAATTCCGCTTTATTCAAAGATAATGGCTATTGAGGATTGTGGAATATTCATTAAGAGAGAGCTTGAATCTGTTGGTGATGAAGAGGTTTTTGAAAGAAATATTATGAAATTTGAAATAAGTGAAACTGAAATGGTCAGTGAATCTGGAAAATATATGATTGGTAGTGAAATGGTTACCCATAACTTCGAAGAAAAAGTTGATGTGGATCAGATTAAAAGCGAAAATGTTATTGATGTTTACCATGAACCCAAATCTGAAAAATCTATAGGAGAAATAACTGAAGGCCCTCAAAGTAAGTTCCAAAAGACCTTGTATTCTTTTTGTTATTGTATATTGAAAAATAGAAGAATATTATGATTTGCATTCCTGTGAGGAGGGTACAACTGTTGATCCTTCTCAGTGTGCCCAGTTTTGAATTTAAAGTATATGGTACATCTGGTTGTATATAAAAGGCTCTAACATAGTCGAAAGATTCAGTTTTAATCATCTGCTGATGATGCGAACTTGTTTAGCGAAAGAAAAGCACACTGAGAGAAAGTGCTTTAATTATAGGGTATGGAAAAGGCTTTTCATCAGATTAATTTTATGCCAGACATTCCAATTCCACCCATCAATTAAAATAGTGACATGATAATCAATTACAAAAAATCTCCTCAGCAGTAAGCATTCATTACCCCTTGAATTTTTATAGTTTAGTTTCAATTTCCTTATCAAATTTTGAATATATGGATAAATATACTTTGATTCATTATTAATCTGTTTGGTTGGTACGAATCAAAATAGTTTGTTTAACTATATACTGGACTCTTTATGGCCAGTGAATAGTATGTGTATAAATATACATTTCCTCATTTCATGGAAGGTTTAAAATTTTTGGTTTATATAAATTCATTTTTTGCAAAGCGGTTTCCCATGTCTAGTGGTAGTCTCTCGATTATAGGTTTCACTTTTGTAGTTTCATATAGCAGTTCTCCAAGTTTGGTTTAGTAGCTCCCACATTCGTTAAGAATTCATTGAAGTGATTACAAATCTTAGCTTTATCTTTTTCCTGAATATTATTTATTGTTGGTTATGATGGTAGTGGAGTTGTTGATTTATTTATTGCTTCATTGATTATGGCATTATGGCATTGATTATGGCATGTTATTGGCATTGTTTATCCTATTATCATTATGTTCTAATTTAGCCTTCTTGATTTTTTCTCAACTGAACTTTTAGACATTTATAACGTTCTTTGATGCAATCATTTTGTGTAAGTTTGACTATTTTCGACAGTTCACATAACATCTGATGAAGGTTCTTTATTTCTGAGTTGTTGTTGAGTTTTTGTTGTCCATTTTTTTTCTTTTTTAATGTGAAAGCAATATTGAAGTAATATTGAAATATGGGGTGAAAACAATTGTATGTCTCATCTACAGTTTTCAAATTAAGTACCTCAGTCCATTTTTCATTTATTACTAAGTTTCTGAAAGTTGTTAGATTATGAAAAGTCATGTTCCAATATAATTTCATCTGACTCATAATCAGTTAATGAAAATAGAAATTCACAAGTCTGAAATGTATGGTCTGATAAGTATGAGTGTTGAATATTCTTTGACATAATGGATAGATTAGAGTATATTAATCTATACCAGTTGAAACAGTAGTAAAAATGCCAGTTGGTTTGTCAATGTGGTTTATCCTGTCAAATTCCTTGAATACATTAATTACTTTGTGAGTGTCTTTATTTTCTGTTAAAAAATTTATATTGATGTCACCACATAAAATATGATTTGAAATCTGTGAAAGAACAAATAAAATTAAAATGAATAACTAAAAATATCAATTATATCAAGCAATAAAACATTAAATGAAATTACAATAAAATAAAAATGAGCAAAGAATTGAATTCAAAAATTGAACAACTGAAAATGAAATAATTGAAAAATATTTCAAATCAAGTTACTTCACAATTTTTCGATTCTTAGTTTAATGACATTTCTGTATATTTAGGGGTAATTTATTTGTTTTACTTTTACACCAAGAAGCTAAACAGTCAATATCTTTTTGGAGTAGTTTACAGTCTCTTTGAGAAATAATGACTTTATGGTGTTGTCTCTCCTTAGGCTGTTCAGAGCTCTTCGTTCTACATCACTGATGTTAGATGTTGGAACTGGTTCTCGATCCAGATGTTCTCTGATTTTCCATCTAAATTCTGCTGCCTTGGTCTGACAAATAAGGGAACTGGTGGATTCCACTGCAGTAATTATCTTCAAAGTGGGCACAGATGTTGGGGCAACGGCGAAGTTTAGACCTTTCCTCAACAAGGATTCCTGTATGTCCGTGATCGGGTGGGAACTCATGTTGATGACTTTGGCGGCTTCACAGTTATACTGTTTTCGGTCTGCATTTGGGCATTGTTTCCTCACCAAATTGTGGGTATTCTCCATGTCTTGGCAGATCTTTAAGCAAGTGCTTTCAATTTTGGAAAAGATTGGTCCATGTTCCTCTTTCATGGGCTCTTTTCTTATTTCTTCAAATCATTCTGTGGCATCCTGCATCAGAGTTGACCTTTCATAATGGTGGTAGTTAATTTGAGACATAATTAGTGCTCGGCTTGCGCGTTCCAAAATGTGTTTGGCTCTTTCTCCTGGGAAAGGTGATTCCAGTGGAAAACCTTTAGAGATAATGTTGCTTCGCACAAAAAACTGGGATGAGCTTTTTCCTTGCTAAGCTTGATCATAGTCTTTTCATATCCTCGAAATAAGACGCTGTACCAGGTGTTCAACGTTTGTTTGAAAGTTGTTGACACGATTTCATGGTGAAATTTATTAGTTTGGCTTCCATTGTCTATTCATATGATATTGATATGATTTGAAATTTCTGAAAGTACAAATAAAATTGAAATGAATAGCCAAAAATATCAATTATATTAAGCAATAAAGCGTGAAATGAAATTACAATAAAATAGAAATAAGCAAAAACCTAAAATTAAAAAATATTTCAAACCAATATTATGTTATCAAGCATTTCTCCGCTCTGTGACTCTTTTCAAAGCCTCATCAAAAAGTATTTTGAGATCTGCAAATTTGAACGTGGTGTTATGCTGAGTTACAAAATTCTACACATCCGCCCATATTAACTCGTTGGCATTGAGCTCGCAGTGGTATGGAGGCAGGCGAAGGACAATTTTGTTTTGGCCTGCTGCCATCTCATCAACTATATATTTTTGGTATTCAAGCTTGCGCTCCTTGACAATTTTTAGTAGCTGTACTCTTAGCATTGAGTCTTCAAAGCTGATATTCTTTGATCGCAGCCAATTTTGGATTTCAACCTTCTTTGAAGACGTTGTCGGAATCTTCTCTAACCGTCGCGAATGATAAGGTGCATTGTCCATTACAATCACAGCATTATCCTCCAGATGGGGTAGAACTTTGGAAAACCACTGTTCGAAAGATTCACCGTTCATTTCTTCGTGATAATCTCCAGTTTTCTCCGACTCGAAACATCACAGCCCTTCAGCAACAAACCCATTCTCATTAGATAGATAATTTTTATTCATCCATGAAGCTTTACACAGTGCAGTACAGTATTGAAACTTATCAGACTAGTCAATTACATATAACATGAACAAACACATAACATAAATGCATGGTTAATAGATTTACATGTCAGAATTATCGATAGGAAAATTTAAAAACTCATCTACAGAATAAAACGCATGATTAATTAAAAAGTCATGGAATGTTGCTTCGAAAACTCCAAAATTTTTTATTTCACCAATTAATTTTACGCATTGGTTATAACACTTGATACCCAAATATGTGAAAGAGTTTTGTGCTAGGCCTAGACGGGAAAACCGTGGACGTATTTCACTTGCATTGCGAGTGGTATACTCATGTAGAGTATTTCCTCTCACATGACTATGTTTTTCTTTTTTGATGTTGCTGGTTATTAAATATATATACAAACAAGGCAAGGTCAGAATGGACAGTCTTTTAAATATTGGTCTATAGCTCGCCTGATAATGAGCTTTGACCATACATCTTATAATTTTTTTCTGTATAATGAATACTTTATGTACGTGAGCAGAGTTACCCCAGAATATCAGGCCATAGCTTAATAAGGAATTAACAAGTCCATGGTATGTTAGTTTAAGAATATCCAAAGAGACAGTGCCTTGCAGTTGTCGAATAACAAAGCAAACACTGCTCAATTTGGATACTAAATTGTTTATATGAATTTCCCATGTAAGCTTATGTTCCACATAAATTCCAAGACCAACTTGTTCTATAGACTTATGATTCATCCTTATTAATGGACTATAATCATAACGAATATTCTTTGGCTGGAATAACATGAAAAATATCTTTTTTATATTAACTGATAGTCCGTTATCGACACACCATTCATAAAACATATTTGCTGCAATATTTGATATTTCCACCGATTTTGCTAGATTACTCTCCGCAATTAACTGATTAGTATCATCAGCATAAATGATGATTTTATATTTTCGGATCTGCATGAATATGTTATATCACTAATAAAAACAATAAAGAGTAAAGGACCCAGAACCGATCCCTGTGGTACACCAATAGTTTCATCTGCAGGCTTTGACTTAACAGATTCAATAATTACTATCTGTGTCCTGTTTTCTAAGTAAGATGCAATCCACTTATTAGCCACATCCCGGACACCCAGATTATAGAGCTTATCTAATAGTAGTATATGATCAACTGTGTCAAAAGCGCGACTCAGATCAAAAAATAGAGCAATAGGAATTTTTTTATTATTCAGATATTGATACATTTGTGTGCATAATACTTTAGTGGCAGTTTCAATGGATTTTCCATGTCTAAACCCGTGTTGACAATTTGAAATGAGATTGTTTTCTTCCAAAAAAGAAGTGAGTCGTATATTGAAGGTGCTGTCAATTACCTTGGCAAATTGGGATTGTAGACATACATTTCTGTAATTGCCCACATCTTCTCTGGATCCTTTCCCTTTTTAAATTGGGACCGATTTTGATATCTTTAAAACCTTTGGATAATGTCCGTCAACAAACGACATGTTTATTATGTCTGATAGTGGATAACATATTAAATCATTAACTTTTCCTACAGCTTTTCCGCATATATCATCCACACCTGCAGAGGTTTTTTTCGTTGTTTTTTTTTTATGATTTCATAGATCTCCTGTGGTGTGGATGGTCCTAAAAATATAGTATTATCGAAAAGTTTACGTTTCATGTTCTCCAAGTTCGGTTTGGTAGCTCCCACGTTCTTAAAGAATTCATTGAAGTGATTACAA